AGCCCGAGTTGGTGATCATCCCACTGGCATATCTCATCATCTTCCTCGTGGGCACGGTGGGCAACTGCCTGGTCCTGGCTGTGCTGCTGCGCAATGGGCAGGTGAAGAACACCACCAACCTCTTCATCCTCAACCTGGGGGTGGCCGACCTCTGCTTCATCCTCTTCTGCATCCCCTTCCAAGCCACCATCTACACCCTGGAGGGCTGGGTGTTCGGGTCCTTCATGGTGCAAGGCTGTGCACTTCTTCATCTACCTCACCATGTACGCCAGCAGCTTCACCCTGGCCGCCGTCTCCCTTGACAGGTAGGAAAGGGGATGGGGAGGCTCCCCGCACCCTGAAGCTCCCCCTTCTCTGGATCCTTTCTGGGCAGGAGATGGGACCGAGTCCTCTGGAATCAAGCCCCAGTTGCTGCGACCTCCTGGGGCTCCCAGGTGAATCCCTGTTCATGTGTGCCAGAAAAAATGCCCCCCTGTCCAGCTGGAAGAGGCTTTCAGGCCCCAAAGCTGTGGAACTGGGATTTATCCACAGGCTCTGGCAGCTGAATGAGGGGATAGGAAACTGTAGAGAAGCAAAACTCAGTCTTTGTGCAGCCTTGACTCTTCCTGGGATATGGGGAGGGAGCTCCTGCTCTCCAAACAGCCCATGGCAAAGTGGGCAAACCTCAAGAAAGAGGAGACACTGGGATGGTTGAGCTGGGACACCACTTTTCTTACCCTCCCTGTTTATAAGCAAAAAAATCCCTTTGAGTCCCAGCCTGGCCCTGGGTGGGTTTATCTGGGCAGCTCTGTAAAAGGCCGCCTGTTGCTCCTGACAGCTTTACCCCGAGCTGGCTCAGCCCCTGGCTCCACAGGGGATGGTGAGTTACTGACCTGCAGCAGGTGAGAGGCAAGTAGCTCCTGGTGCTGCTCTGCTCAGTGCTCAAAACCAATGAGATGGTGGGATGTGGAAAGCCCTTGTGAAAGTCCCCTGGGAAGAGCCACAGCAGCTCCAGCACAGGGCTGGATGTGTGCTGCTGTCCCATCCCAGCTGCCAGGACAGCACCCCAGGAGCTAAAACGCAGGCAGGGTCTGTCTCTCCTCCTGCATCCCACAGAGCTGGGAGCAATGGAGGTGTCGAGCAAGCAGGGGCTTGCATGAGCCCCTAGATCTGGGTGTAATGAAGGAACCTGCTAATTGCAGAACTGAAAATGGGTGACGTGCTTTTGCGTGTGCCAGCGTGAGCAACACAGTGTCTGGGGGTCCTGGGGACTCACTCCTGCCTTTGTATCCTCACTGCTGCTCTCACTTGTGCCAGACAGACTGCTGATCAAGTGAGGATCTGATGGATTAGGGAGAGGGACAGAAGGGGACTGGCCCTGTCTTCCCCATGAGCACTGCTGGGAGGCAAGAGGGTGATGGGACAGGGTTGAGGCAGAGGATCCTCCTCACCCCTCGGGAACACTTAGAAGCATCAGAGAAGCAGCTATGGGACTAGTTGCCCTGGAAAGCTCAAATCCATCACTTTTGTCCTTCCTCCAGTCTGTTCCTGGAGCAGCTCTCTGTGCCCTCCCCAGGACTGCAGTTGTGTCCCTTTCCCTTTCCCATGCAGGTATTTGGCCATACGATACCCGCTGCACTCGAGGGAGCTGAGGACACCCAGGCATGCCCTCACAGCCATCTGCTTCATCTGGGGGCTGTCCTGCATCTTCTCAGGCCCTTATCTCAGCTACTACCAGGAATTCCAGCTGGCCAACCTGACTGTCTGCCACCCCATCTGGGAGATCTCCCAGCGCAAGGTCATGGACATCTGCACTTTCATCTTCAGCTACATCATCCCAGTGCTGATCCTGAGCCTCACTTATGTGCGGACTATTCACTACCTGTGGAGGTCCGTGGATCCTCTCCAAGACATGTCAGAGTCCAAGAAGGCCAAGCGGAAGGTCACCAGGATGATCATCATTGTAGCTGTCCTGTTCTGCCTCTGTTGGCTGCCCCATCACCTGGTCATCCTCTGTGTCTGGTTCGGGTACTTCCCCCTCAATCATGCTACATATGTGCTCCGCATCCTCTCACATCTCATCTCCTATGCCAACTCCTGTGTGAACCCCATTGTCTACGCCCTGGTCTCCAAACACTTCCGTAAGGGCTTCAAGAAGATTTTCATCTGCCTCTTGCACAAGAAGGCAGCCAACAAGGTGCACGTGGCCCAAGTGATGAACACCATCAGCACGCTGGAGGCAGAGCTCAGCGAGGTTACCCACATCAGCAAAGCCCTGCCTGCATGCTCCTCCCTGCGCTGCAAGGTCCCAGCCGAGCCCTGGGGGGAGGCAGAGTTGGTGGGACATCAGCAGAAAGCAGATGGCTCCTTCATCACCTTCAACGTCACCTAGCAGAGCTTCTTCACACCCCATGGCTTTGCAGTCTCCTGCAGCATCACAGGCCTGAGGATGGGCAATGTTTTGGGTTGAAATGCATCAAATCCTACCCTTTTTCATTCAAATGCACCCAGATACTGTAACTGTTAAAGCGATGCTGCTGACCATGGACTCAGCCAAGCGACCGACCGAGGATCCAAGGGCAGGGTTTGCTTGCACCAAGCAGAGAGATGAAACCCTCAAATCAACTCTCGTGTAACCACCCATTCCTCTGTCACGGACAGACTTACACCCTGTTGCATCTATACCTGGAGCCTCCTGAAAACTCTGGTCCCTCCAACCAACGCAGCATCTGGCTGGAGTTAGCGGGGTGCATTTTTAGGGACATCTGCGAAGTCTTGATTCGTTTGTGTCCCATTTCAGAGGCTTTGTCCCACAGCAACGCTGGCCACAGCCACATGGGCACAAACCTGGCTCAGGCAGAAAAATCCAGAAGAGAAGCATAGAAATCAGTAGACAAACCTTCCTGGCACAGCCAGTGCTGGCTGGGTTTTCACATCTCCCTGGGACTTGTGGCTCAGGGAAGGTTTCTTGGAGATGGAGCATGGCTGGAAGCAGCATCCATAGCCACGATGAGCACCGTAGCCCAAGTACAGGACTGCCAATGGCACAGGGAAGTGCTCCGTGATGCTGATCATGGCTCATCCCTGCCATTTCAGTGCATGCAAAGCTCTGCAGAGCATCTGGAGGTCACCAAGGACTAAGGCCTGGTGAGGCTGGAGGCTGTTTGCCAGGGGAGCACGGCTGTGGCCCCATGGGAGAGATTGTGCTGCCAGGGGAAGCAGAGCAGGAAGTCAGCCGGTCAGTGCTGGGGAAAGATTTTAATGCTTTCAGTCAGCTTGGGCATGGCTCAGCATCTCAGCCCAAGTGAGGTGCTTGTGGAGAAGAGCAAAGCAGAGCACTGGCACCACTCTCCTGCAGCCATGGTGTGAGGCCAGCCAGCGAGGGCTGCCAGGGGACCTCAGCCAGCTGGGGAAGCTGCAATAAACTCCTCCATCCCGCATCCCGTGTCCTGCTCCCTTGAGACACTCTGCTGTCCACAGCAGAGGAGAGGTGGGTGCTGGAGGGGTGGTGGGACCCATGGGAAGCAGCAGGCAGCGAGGAGGTGGAGGATGTAGGTTATGTCTGCAGACATCCATCGAGGCGGGGACCGCTGTGGTGTGAGGAATGGCACTGTGCTCCCCTTAACGCAGCTGTACCCGCACACAGGGACCGACGTGACTAACGCTGCAAAGGCTCCATGAGCGACTGTGACCACCAGTAGCCAAGGGCTTTATTTAAAAACCCATCATTTTCTGTACCAGAAGAACATCACTGGAATAGGATCAGTTAACTCTTTAGAAAAGGCTGCAGCAGAGCACAGCCAGAGGTGGTGATGAAGGAGTACAGGAGCTGGGACGGGCTGCACTGAGCATCCCCGCGACGCCCAGGTCTGTACCCCAACAGCACCGAGCACCCCTGAAGATCAGGTCTCTATAAAGTGCCATTACAGAGGGTGTAAATCTGTCTGCACAGATTTCCCTCCTTTCAACATCCACATGGCAGAACCAGGATGCCTTGCAGGAGGTTGTTTCTGTCCAGGACCCTGGCTCTCCCTGGGTGTCTGCTCCAGGGTCCAGGTTCCGACATAGCCCTCCACCCCTCCTCAGCACTTGGCCTTTCTTCCCGGGAAGCTTTTGGCTATCAAACGTTTGTTTTCCCCTGCTGAGCATTATTATAACCAGATCTTCCTGTCCCCATGCAGAGGGCCATAAATCAGCCACTGCCTCATATCAATAACCATTATATTTAGTCTAGGCCTGCTCACAGCTTAAGTCACAGAGAGCGAGTGTATAAACAGCTCCATTACTTATATCTACATTTATCTCCTCTGCTCAACCCTTCCCAGCCAGGGAAAACAGTGGATCAGCCATGCAAGCATGACTGAAAGCCTTATCTTCCTCCTGCCCTCATCCACCTCTGCTCGGAGAGCCGCAGGATCTGGTTCTGTTGGATCCTCTCTGCACTGAGCAGCTCAACCACCTCTCCTGGACCATTATCCACTTGGATAACTTGGGAATGGAGATGGTGTCCTGGGTATCCTCACCATGGGATGAGAGCTGGGGTGTCAGGGAGAAGGACCCGAAAGGAGGAGCAAACCCCTGGGGCTGTGTAACTGCCCTAGAGCAGGCTCTGCACAGCACCCAGCCCAGGGGGGCTGCACCTCCCTCCTACCTCCAGCACCCCAGAATCCCCTCCAACACACACCACAGCTCACACGGCTGCTCTCACCCTCGTGCAGGAGGAGCAAAGCTCCATTTGATATTCCACAGCAAGGTCCAGGCACAGCCCAGCTGCCCCACTCGTCTTATGGATCCTCACCCATCGATCGGTATCTGCTCATTTGCAGGCAGCGAGAGTGAAGCCTGTGCCAGTTGCTGGATCATTATGTCATTTACAGGATGCTACAGAAATAGAGAAAAGGAGGAAAAAAAAGAGCTTCTGTTCTATCTGCCATTGCCCCTGCTCATCTGAGGATGAAACCATCTCCCTCCTTCCTGGCCTGTGTCTTGATGAGCCCTTCAAGACCAAGCACAAGGTTTTGCTGCCAGCACAAAATCGTGGTGGGAAGCAACTTCACCTCAAACAACAGAGTGTAACCAGCCCAGATGGAAAAAACAAGTGCAAGGTGACTTGCCACTGCTCAGCATCCTCCCAGCTCAGTGGGGACGGGGCTGCCTGTGTGTCCCCTTGGGAGGTTTTATCTTAAGTTAACCCTGCTGCAAGTCCTGGTCTTCCAGTTAAAGTTTAATAAATCAAATTCAACTGGGAGTGGAAAATAATTAGGCTAGACTCAGCTCCCACCAAGTCCAATGGTGGGAAGGGAGATGAGGGGCACTGGGCTGAAACCTCAGGTGGGTGTGTTTTCCAGAGCATGGATTTATCACTGAGGCTGAAGCAGTTGGTTTGGTTTGTGGTTTTGTTTTCTTTTCAGACACTTACTCTGACAATTTGCTCCCCAGTACAATGAGACAGGAAGGGGGGTGGGGGCTGAGGCTTTTGAGCCTCCCAACCTCATCTCTGCTGTATGCAGGTCCTCAAACCAGTAGCAACCCTGGAGCTGGTCCTCATCCCAGCAGGGTCTGACAAACCCCTTTTGCTGCCCCAAAATAACAGTCAGTGCCAAGAAAGCCATGAGAGCAGGTAGCACACCCAGACCCTGACACATCCCCCCAGCCTGGCCCACGGCAGCAAAAAACCCCAGAAAAATGTAACTCCAGCCCCAAAACCCTGGGAATCAGAGATGTGTCCCCCAGCCTGGCCCTGCCTGTGTCTGGAGATTCACTGGCAGCCAGAACAGAACAGGAGGACGTTAAACCCCACAGGAGCCTTGGAGGAAGCAAAGGGGGAGGCAGAGGGGGCTCAGCCCTGGTGCCATGGGGCAGCCCCAGGTTGGGTCCATGGGCCCTTCCCACGGTCTGAGCATCACTCACATCTCCACACTCAGCTCTGAGTGAGGAGTGTGAAGGGCTCAACTGTGAGAGTGTCGGGAACAGTGCTGGCTGCCATGATTGCTCTTAATTAACGTGTTGCTAAGACATTCCTTACCATAAAAAGCCAAGGAGCATGTGGAACCATTTTCCAGTGCTGTGCAGCGTTGGATGTGACTCAGACACTTGAGGTCAGCCCAGAGGGGGTGAGCAGCTCCCCCCGCTCCCACCCCAAGGAAGGGATGGCTCTGACTGGAGGATGCTGCTGCTCCAAGAGCAGGTTTGGCTGCCTCTGTGGCTGCTCAGCAGGGCCAGGAGCCTGTCCACATCCCCACATTCATTCCCTGTACAGGGTAGAGGCAGGTGGTGTGGGAAGAGTTAGAACCAGGGTGAGCGGGAGGCTGGATTTAGGAAACAGGGATCGTGTGGTTCAGCTTTCCCTTTAGCTCAGGGAAAACAAGGGTCTTGGACTCCCACATAGGAGCTACACAGCCAGGAGCAGCAGAAACCATCTCTTACCCCAGATACCCACCACCTCCAGCTCCTCCTCACAGCACAGCTACCACTGAACCAGGTCCTCAGCTCCCAGCAGCTTCTCACCCCGCTTCCTTCCTCCAGATGTGGCCAGGGCATCTTTATGGTAGAACACAACCCAGCCAACTTCTGTTGCTGGCAGTGGAGAGACCAGGAGGGAGCAGGACATTTTGCATCCTATTCTGTGACTGCATCTCCCCACCTCTGAGCTGAGCTGGACCAGCTCCTCATCAGCCCCAGAGTGGTACAGCTTTCCTGGGAAATGGCCTGACAGCAAAGCCCAGAAATGCCTCTTTCAGTGTAGGCTGTGCAGAGGCCTTCCCAAAGTCTCCAGAAAACATGATATGGTCCCATCCCAGACCCTAAGTGATCTCATATTTTCTTTGGGCATTGGTTAACACAAGAGCAAAGCACAGGGAGGATACCAGCTCCCACACTGAAGCTCAGATGCTCCAGGAAGGCTGCAAAGCTTCCCCCTTCCCTCCCCTGGCTTTGCCTACAGCTATTCCAGGTGAATCTCCTCACCCTGGGATTGGCTGCAATAAAACATGTTTTACAGCCTCAGGCTGAGCACAACAAATTCCATACACTCTCCTGGAGAAAGAATTTCAGAATAAACCATTGCTGTGGTAGAAACAGATCCAGAAAGATGGAATCCAGCTCCTCTGGTGAATGTCAGCATGTGAATCCAGCAGGCTCAATGCCACATATAATACAAGCCAGCAGCACTTTGCTTATGCTTAAAAACACTCTGTCAAGTGTCTGCCAACCTTCAGAGGCTCTTGGAACCGGCAGAGTAAAAACCACCTAGCACTGAAGTCTCAGGTTTCCTCAAGCATTTGAGATTCAAGAGCAGGAAGGAAGGTCCCTGCTGGGGAGGGTTCTTGGGTCAGTACTGAGAGCCTGCATGGCCAGACACATGAAAAACAGCTGGGCAGGTGTGATCAAGATTTGAACCCTCACAGTGGTCCAGCTCTGGGCTGGACAAGCCTGTCAAATCTGCTGTTTTTCAGGCATTTGCTACACCACTGAGAGCAGGTAGTATTTCAGACCTTGCTCAGGTCCAGGCTGAGGAAGAAGATGTCAGGGGTTCAGAAAGGTCAGGAGTTACCCAAAAACCAGCCATCAGTGGAGGGAGCAGCCCAGGTAAGCAGCTGGGTCTGCCACAGAAAGATCTGTGGTCTCATCCAGGCTCTAACATCCAGCTTCTGTGGGACATGGGCTGAGATGGGTCATCACCTCTCTGCCCTTTGCTACTTGGCCTCTCTTATCCACTGGCACCATAACTGTCCAGGGCAGCCCCTTCCCAGGGTGCACAGACCTGACTTCCCCAGGGAAACAGCCCACCTCTCACAGAATCACAGAATGTCGGGGATTGGAAGGGACCTTGAAAGATCATCCAGTCCAATCCCCCCGCCAGAGCAGGAACCTAAATGAGATCACACAGGAAGGCATCCAGGCGGGGCTTGAATGTCTCCAGAGAAGGAGACTCCACACCCTCCCTGGGCAGCCTGTCCCAGGGCTCTGTCACCCTCACTGTAAAGAAGTTCCTTCTCAAGTTTAAGCGGAACCTCCTGTGTTCCAGCTCACACCCATTGCCCCTTGTCCTACCATTGGACATCACTGAGAAGAGCCTGGCTCCATCCTCCTGACATTCACCCTTAACATATTTATAAACATTAATGAGGTCTCCCCTCAGTCTCCTCTTCTCCAAGCTAAAGAGCCCCAGCTCCCTCAGCCTTTCCTCAGCAGGGAGATGCTCCACTCCATCATCTTGGTGGCTCTGTGCTGGACTCTCTCCTAGCTGTGATGCTCACTGCACAGAGCAGCCTCCCCTGCTAGGAAAAGAAAAGGCAGGGTGGGTAGATGCACAACAGCAGAAGGGTTAAAATGCAGCTCTTCACCTTTCCACTATCCATTCCCACTCCTGGTTCCATGCTGAGGTCTGCCTTGCCCTCTCCACTTCCCCATGCTCTGCAGTGCCCCAGACAGTGACACAACAGCTCTTTCCACTGCTGGGCTAATTAGACACCAGCATCCATTCACTCCTATAAACACGGGCTCAGGTGAATAATGGATTTGCTGCAAATTGCAAAGCAGCAGCTACTGTGAGTGCTCCTCGCTCTATGGAAACCCTGTATTTCAAGTGTTACCATGGGCAGATAATGGAAAAGATCCCACAACAGAGCAAGCAGCAGGAGTGAGTGAGGTGGGAGCACAAGGTACCTGGCCAGAGACCACAGAAACAACACAGGTGCTCCAAAGCTCTGAAAGGCCTTGGTACGAAGACAGCAGAGTCCAGGTCCTGTGCCAAAGCCTGACAGTATCACTCCATGGCACACGGAAGAGCAGCACTTGTTTCTCATGTGATGCCCGTGGGTTAAATGAAGGGAACAGACTTGGCCGCTTGCAGGGAAAAGATGCATCAGATTTAACAAGACAGGAGACAAAACAGGGATGAGAAGAAGGTGCTCTGCAGAAATCTGTATGGGAACACTTCTACACATGCTCAGCCTCAGGTCAGTGAGGAGCAGCACCAGTCAGGATGCCATGGAGCTCCCTCTGGTTCTCACTGCTCTGTCATGACTCCAGCCTGACATCGCTCTGTCTACCACCACCTCACACAGAACAGAGAACTGCTACTGGGATAGCCATGAAACATCCCCTGTACGTAACGAGACTGCAGGCCAGCCAGGCAGCACCACAGCCAGGCAGCACCACAGCCAGGCAGCACCACAGCCAGGCAGCACCACACCACAGAATCAGCATCTTGTCCCATCACTGAACTAAACAACAGTTAAAGAGTAACAAAATGAAAATCCTTTGAGATCCTACAGAACTGAGATTCCCAAAACACATCAGGGAAGCAGGCAGCACCAACTGGAGCTTACAGCCTCCTGCACTTATCAGAAGGACAGTACTTATAAGGTTTTGTGTTTGGAGTTTTTATGGGGCTTTTTTTTGTTGTTGTTGTTGTTTGGGTTTTTTTGGTTTTTAAACCCCAAACCCACTCATCATGTCTGCTGCACATCAAAGAATTAACATGTATACCCAGGCCTGAAGATGTGCAAACATAAGATCCCACACAGCAATCTTTGCTCTCGATCCACAGAAGAAGGCAAAGTCAGTCAGGAGGTAGTGTTTCCACAGGTTTATAAATCTGAAATACAAGTATAACACCCTGCCCACCACAATGGGGCAGGGGAGAAGGGAAGGGAACCCCAAAGGTTGCTGAGGGAGTGCTGACTTGTACTTGGCAGCTGGAGAGTACACAACAGCTGGAGATTTATGCTGATGTGTCAAACAGCTTCTCGATCATCTCCCCCACCTGGTCGACCTGGTATTTGATGTACTTCTCAGGGTTCTTGGTGAAGGGCACATTGCCATATCTGCAAAGGAAGACAATCCTCAGGTGACAAATGACTGGAACACAGCAAAGAGACCCACTGGCTCCTCCTCTGTCACACATCAGCTCCACTCCAGCAGGTCCCACTTGAACCTGACAGGGTATCTTGTAGGGAGTAAGTGACCTGGTTACGACTGGTCTCCCACGTTTTACATGACTAGCCCAGGGTGGCTCAGAGCTTTGTGTGAGCTAGAACATCTGCACTCGCTCTGACCAAGGAATCAGGGCGAGAGCAGATGTTCACAACTAGTAGTGTCCAGCTTGGGGATGTTTTAGTGTGCAAAGTAGAGAAGCTAAGACAGGACAACAGAAACGTGCCTCAGCTCAGGCTACTCTAGGCCCCAAAGACCTCAGGAAATCCAAAGAAGAGAGGAATGTTGCAAGAGGTTGTCACCTGTTCAAGAAGGCACCATAGGTCTCTTTCACAATGTTTTTCTGTGCCCAGCGGATTTTGTCCCGTTGCTCCACGTCTGGGATTGCCCAGGCCTTCTGGATCTTACATAGCTCCTCCAGCCCGTCATTAAATCCCTGTCCAAAGTAAAACTCGGTGAGTGGCCTGTCTGCAGTCACATCTCTATACTGAGCCTGATGTTCTTCCCCTCCACTGTTGACCACCAACATACAGGTCTCCTCCTTAGCTGTTTGTCCCAATCAACTAGGGATGCTCTTATGCCATCTAACACCCCCTTACCTTAAAGCGCTCCTTTATCATCTGCCTCTCCTTATCCTTGAGCTGCAACAAGGAGGAAAAGGATTTATTTAATCTCCAGAAATAAAGTTTCCAACATCAGTGTTTGCCCACAACTCCCCATCCATCCTAAGTAATATTCTACCTACTTGGCTTGAATTCCCTCTCCTAAAGCAGGGAAGAGAGAAAACAGCAGCGAGCAGCACACCCTACATCCAGTGATTTGGTATCATCTCAAGTAAGTTTAACAAGGGTAATTTTCAGCCAGAACAGATATAAAAATAGATTTTTTAATGCTTCCAGCCCTTTCTAAGGGAAGGTCTCAGGGTTTTGCAAATCTAAAAGAGAAGCATCTGCTCAGGTGAAGATGTAAAAATGGAGGCAGAGTTTAAAAGTCTTGTATGAATCTGGGGCAGGCGAGATTAGAAGGCAGTGCTGCTCTCCATCCTGTCCCAGCCACAATACTCACTCTGCAGAGCAATACTGGCATGAGATATAAAGAACGTTTTGGGAACTTTTTTAATATGCTATAGAAGATGTTTCCAGCAATTTCTATCATCTCAAAACCATCCTTGCCCACCCTCTCACCTTCACTCCGGGTTGAAAAACAGGCAGGTTTCTCTCCGAGATGTACTCTGTCACCTTCAACCAGCTGCAGGTGAAATGAGACAGGAAAGAGGCAAAGAGGAGTTACCCATGCCTCACCAGAACATCCATGTCTTCACCCATGACCCAAAGGCCACCCCCGGACAATACACACCCCAAAACTCTCCACAGTGACCCCACTCCAATTTAGATTAATCACTTGGAAACCAAAATATTTGGCTTTGGTTTGAGACAAGTTTCTGGTTTAGGCTAATCTCTCCCACTGCTCTAGCAGCACTGGCTCCCAAGGAGCTCTCAGACTGACAAAACTAAGGGAAGAGCAGAGGATGTCACCTGACCTGCGCTGGTAGGTCTGGATCTGCTGTTCAATGAGCTCCCGGTAAGACCTCTCGGCTGTCTTCTGTGTTACAGCTACCAACTGGATCAGCTCAGACCTGAAAGAAGAGAAAACCTGAGGAAGCACATGAGCCAGCTGCTCTCAGGGCTGCTAGCAGGGTGGCAACATTTCAAGCCTCTATCAACAAGTTCTTTTCTGCCCTTTACAATAAAAAGGACCTTGAAATGCACATACTGGGAGACAGAAGCTACTCCAAGTTACTTTCCAAAGCCATGTCCTCAGTCTTCCCAAGATCAAAAGATTCTCTACAACCTAAGGCATATCTGATGCCTTTATCTTCCACTCTCATGTAACACAATGTTTATAACAGCACAAAGCTTTCAAAAGGGTAATTTCAAGAATGGAAGAAAGAACAGGGATGAGACAGGCCAGCAAGTAAACATGCTCAATGCAGAGCTCTACCCCAAAACCATGCTTAGAATCAGCCTGGACTTGAGGGAGATTTACCCAGACACACACTTACTTTTCCAGAGATTTCAGAATGTAGTTGTAGTTATTGTGCAGAAAAATGGCACTCAAAGCTGAGTCTTCATAAACCTTGGATTTACTTAGAAGGTTAAGCTGCAAGTTGCCCAGTACTTTGCCTTAAAGAGGGAAAAACAGAGAACACAAAGGTTTACACTGAAGCTTCTCATTACTGACAATCCAAACTGCAAACTCTGTGCTGTCACTGTGGGCCTGCAGTAAAGCAAACAGCACAGCCCCAACTGCACGTGCAGACAAGGGTACAACGTGTACTTAATCCTACAAGCCTTACACAGATCCTTCCTCAGCGAGTCACCAAAACCTCTCTGAACTACTGCCTTTGTTGCAACTAGCAATACAGCTGCCTTCTCAGGACCAGCACGGGCGATCAGACACAGCCTGACCATGATGGAGGCTCAGATCTCAAAGAAGCTGAAGGACCTGATCCCCATTGTAACAGATCCTCACAAGGTAGTACTGTGAACTCACCTCACTATCTTACTGTTAAACACAGGATCAAGAATTTACAGATCCACCTTGGCAGCTGGGAACCTCTATGGGGTTGAAGGTGCAAAGCACCAGGTGAGAATGGTTTGAGGCAACTGATAACAAAAGCTCTGCAGCACAGCAAGCTCCTGCACTGTGCTTTGTCCTGTCTAACTAACAGTCTGAAACTCCCAGTTTGACCCTTTTTTCCATCCCTCCCATCAGACTCCAGCTCAAACGTGGAAAGATCACATGGAGTATGAGACACAGCCTGTGCTCTTCACCCAAGAATGAGCTAAGGGAAGGACAGCTGACGGGGCAGAAATGGGAAGGTGTGCAGAGTACTCACAGATGTAGGTGCTCAGCAG